AAATCTGAGATGGCATGGAGTGATCCTCCGGTCTTTCTGAATCTCGACAGGATGGTTTCGGTGTCACTGAAGTCCAGGCTTTGTCCATCCATCCAGTGACTTCAGGAAAGTTTCATGGTGCATCCTCCTGGTTCCCGTGAAACTGTGTTCTCCATCCACGCTTTCCTCCAGTCCCTCACAAGTTTCTCGCTCACTCCAAACTTTTTTCTGCTGCTCCATTACCGTTTTCAGTTGAATATTTCACGACTCGCAGCAGCACAGAGGCTCTTTCTGCAGGAGACATGCGCAGTAGAGCCAAGTGACAGTGGTACAGGAGGAACAGGAGCAGCAGATACTACCAAAACCATGAAAAAAAGTGCGACTTATAGTCCGAAAAATACGGTATATGGGAACTTAAAGATACTGTACCGTAAATAACTCATTTTACTGACACTGACTCAGATTGAAAGAGAAAAGAATCGATTTCAAAACCTTTTAGAATTCTCACGTGGAGTTTGCAGATTTATGGACCTGGTTTATGGGTCATGTTTCTGTAATTCCTGGTCTTATCCACATGAAACAAAAACCGTCAGAGTTCAGCGTCTCTGTCAGTGTAAGTAAACAAAACATTTCTTCTCAGATATATTTCGAAACCCTTTTTCCCATCAAACTGGCTCAAAGGTGCATTGTGTATCTTCTGGTGGAGGGTTCCCCATCTGCTTGTCTCCATGGAGATACTATTACTTTTGCCTGGGATGTTCCACAGTATGGCATTAAACACATACTATAGCTTGCATGAATTCAATTACAGAAGTTTTTGATTCAATTATGGGAGTTTTTGATTCAATTATAAGAGTTTTTGATTCAATTATAGGAGTTTTTGACTAAATGATTGGAGTTTTTGATTAAATTATGGAAGTTTTTGATTAAATTATGGGAGTTTTTGATTAAATTATAGGAGTTTTTGATTCAGTTATGTGAGTTTTGATTAAATTATAGATGTTTTTGACTAAATTATGGGAGTTTTTGATTCAATTCTAAGAGTTTTTGATTCAATTCTAGGAGTTTTGGACTAAATTATTGGAGTTTTTGACTAAATTACTGGAGTTTTGGACTAAATTACTGGAGTTTTGGACTAAATTATGGGAGTTTTTGATTAAATTATTGGAATTTTGGACTAAATTGTAGGAGTTTTTGATTAAATTACGGTAATTTTGAGTCAATTTTAGGCTTTTTTGATTCTCAACTTCCACAAAAACATGCATTATCACTGTGACCTGCCCCCCCTCTCCACAGATCTGACCTGTAACTCGGTCTGTTGATGTGTCCTGCTCGTCTCCATGGCGATAGTTAAGTGGAGTCATGGAGGTAGCAAACCCTCCAGTGGAAAAGTTACGCAATGCACCTTTAAAACCACATCAGTAACAACTTTTCACAAATTTGTAAACCACTTTAATTTTATTTCATCGTTCTGTTTTAAATGTTTTGTTTTTTTCTTATAATTTGAACAGAAATCCCACTGGTAGCATTTCCAGATTCTCAGCGTGTTTTCATCGCGGCTGGACCGTTCAAAGCCTGTTTTTGCCTCCACCCGTCGGTAAAAAAAATGATTTTAAAAGTGAAAAATGCGTGAATGTTTGCGAATACATTTCAGTGCCTTTACAGTTTTAAATGAAGCTGTTTGGAGACGGCGAATGATCAAATACAGAAACACGTTTAAGGCATTTCAAAGCAAAAAAATCCCAGGTTTTATTTTGAAATTCTCGTTAACTTTTTTGTTTATGGGTCTTATTGCTTTGCTTCAGATGTTCCACAGTAATACACCTTTATATGAATTTAAAATGGACTGAAATGGACATAGAAGCTCCCAAATCGACTTCAAAACGTTGTGGAATTCTCATGTGGAGTTTGCAGATTTATGGACCTGGTTTATGGGTCATATTTCTGTAATTCCTGGGCCTTTCTACATGAAAAAAAATAAATAAATGGCACAAAGTTCAGCGTCTACTCTGTCTGTGTAAATAAACAAAAGTGGAATTATCTTTTCACAATGGCTTCAGCGAGTGGTGCCAATATTCATCCCCAAAGACCTGAGTGTCATCACTTGAATCGACTTTAAACCGTGAAATTATAATGGCAGGATTGTGGAGCCGATGAAAGCCAAAGAAAGAAATAATAACGAAATAAATAAGGGTCAGCATTTGTGGATTATAAAATTTGAGATTTCTTTATAAAAGCAACAACAACAAAAAAAACAGTGAATCTCCCGTAGAGTTATAACAGAGCCAATAAGGAACTGACTTTTAATCTCTTAATATTTCTGAGGACTTTTAACTCAACTTTTAACTAACTCAACTCAAAATTTAAGGTTGGATTTTAAAGCAGTTAAGTTCAGTTTTTTCTTTCAATTGCCAGAAAACTCTTTTATAACTTTTATAATACAGTATCACTAAATTTTGTTGTCCTTTTTGCAGAAAAAAAGAGTAAAAGTCATATTCCAGTATTCAAAATTATTAACAAATAAATGAGTATATATAAATAAATATATTAAAATAAACCATTCAGATCTTTTTTTTTTTCCTTTTAGCTGCATTCATTACGAAGACGTTTATTTTCTTTTTTTTTTTTTTTTTTTGTAAAATGCAAAATTCTCATAATTTTATCACAATTAGATTTTTTTTAATAAATTATTATATATATAAAAATAAATACATTGAAATTAACCAATCAGATCTTTTTATTTTTTTAGCTGCATTCATTATGACGACGTTTATTTTCTTTGTAAAAAAAAAATTATAGAACACAAAATTCTCACAGTTTTATCTCTATTTTTTCCCCATTTAAATTCCTCTTACGTTAAAACAACGCACTATTGAGTTGGGTAAAATTTCGTTTTATACATTTAAATTAAATGTCTGTCACAATGGAGCTCCACAGTTCTGCCCATTACGAAAGTCCACTCCAGGTCCATAAATTTTTCCCGTAGACTTTTCAAAAAAATCAAATATTAAGAGTTCAAAAGCATGGACATTTAAAACTCAAGATTCTGCGAAATATTTTAAAAACTTCGCTGTTTTTGAAGTTCCAGAAACAGATTTTAGATTTTCTTTTTTTTAGGAAAGTCAATGGGAAAAACGAATGGGATTTTACTTTTTTTACGTTTTGTTTTTTTTTTTTAATAAAGGGAGATTTACGTGATATATTTCTGGTTTTGCTCACTGGTCGTCTCCAAACTTGAATCTTCACAAAAAACACTTCACAGATTCCACAGTGAAATTGTCTTTGTTTATGTCGATATTTTTTGCGTTTGTAAAATATTTATTGATCTTTTCTATGTTTTTCCTTCACGTGTTGGTTTTGTTTTAGCACTAGACCACTGTCGGTTTTTGGATTTTAAATTGCTTTGTTCACTGTTCACAATGTCGAGACCAATAACAGCCGCTGCAGATCCACGTGTAATTCTCAGTGAAGATTTTGGGCACATGTAACTTAACAATAAAAAATATTACAAATCATGTTTCTCTGTTTAATTAAAGAAAAGTGCAGAAGATTTCAGACCAGACGTTTTACTTTTACTACGATTTTGTAAAGTGTGACAGTACTCGAGTAAAAGTTTATTCAGGCCTGGTTTAGTCCTGGTTCAGTCCTGGTTTAGTCCTGGTTCAGTCCTGGTTTAGTCCAGGTTCAGTCCAGGTTCAGTCCTGGTTTAGTCCTGGTTTAGTCCTGGTTTAGTCCTGGTTTGGTCCTGGTGCAAGTCCTGGTTTAGATCTGGTCTTGTCCTGGTTTAGTCCTGGTTCAGTCCTGGTTCAGTCCTGGTTTAGTCCTGGTTCAGTCCTGGTTTAGTCCTGGTTCAGTCCTGGTTTAGTCCTGGTTTGGTCCTGGTGCAAGTCCTGGTTTAGATCTGGTCTTGTCCTGGTTTAGTCCTGGTTCAGTCCTGGTTTAGATCTCTGGTCTAGTCCTGGTTCAGATCTGGTCTAGTCCTGGTTTAGTCCTGGTCTAGTCCTGGTTCAGTCCTGGTTTAGATCTCTGGTCTAGTCCTGGTTCAGTCCTGGTTCAGACCTGGTCTAGTCCTGATTCAGTCCTGGTTCGGTCCTGGTTTATTCCTGGTTCAGTCCTCGCTCAGTCCCGGTTCAGTCCAGGTTCAGATCTCTGGTCCTCCCCTCACCTACGACTCTGAGCCTGAGGTAATAAAGGTCGGGCTCGTGTCTGGACTCTCCCTTCGAGATCGCGGGAGGAGCTCAGTCACGCGGGAGGAGCTCGGAGTAGAGCCGCTGCTCCTCCACGTGGAGACGAGCAGCTGAGGGGAGGACGTCTGTGCCTCCTGGACACGTCACTGGACAGATGTTCATGTCCCACCAGGAGGAGGCGCCCGGGAGAAAACCCTGGAGGAACTCTGTGTCTGTGTGGCCTGGTGTTTGATATTCTGTGTTACTGTTCATGGTTTAAAGGTCTTAAAGAGACAGTCTGGAATTTTGGACATAGGACGTCGTTTCCTCATGAGCCGGAGTGTTGGAAACGTGTGGAGACACTTTTTTTAAATATTCCATCCAGTCCTTTACACATATTTTACACACATTTACACACATTTACACACATTTTATACACAATTTTATACACATTTTACACACATGTACACATATTTTACACACATTTACACACATTTTAAACACACATTTTACACACATTTATACACATTTTACACACATGTACACATATTTTACACACATTTACACACATTTTACACACACACATTTATACACATTTTACACACATTTATACACACACATTTTACACACATTTACACATTTTTTACACACACACACATTTTACACACATTTACACACATTTACACACATTTTTACACACACACATTTTACACACATTTTACACACATTTTACACACATTTACACACATTTACACATATTTTACACACACACATTTTACACACATTTTACACACATTTACACACATTTTACACATTTACAACACATTTTTACACACATTTTAAACACATTTTACACACATTTTAAACACATTTTACACACATGTACACATTTTACACACACACACATTTTACACACATTTACACACATTTATACACATTTACACAAATTTTACACACTTTTACACACATTTTACACACATTTACACACATTTTACTCACACAGTTCACTCGAATGTATGAGGTATTTCTTTTTCTTTTTTTTTTGTAGAAACCCACAGACAGTTTGTTCTTTTATGTATATTTGTTAAAATTTTGAAAAAGCACAAATAAAAAATAAAAACTAAACAAAACAAAAAAACTAAACTCTTGTGCATAATGAAGAAGAAAAAACATATATTAGTTGCACTTTTTGGGGAAATGTATTTTATAAAATCAGAGACCAGGAACCGACATTTAATCTTGAAAGGCAAATTATAGTAACAATAACATAAATAATAATAACAACAGTACAGAGAACGACAGGCTGAATAGGCGTTAATATGTTAACGTCACATAGGAACAGTTCTTCAGATAAACTATAACATAAACAACAGAACAGAACAAGTTTAACAAACTCTCCATCTCACTCCAAATCACTAAATCCATTCAATTCTTCATCCTCGTGTCACTTCTGAGCAACTCCACGACCTCCGGAGGTAAACAGAGCGCCGCTTCCTCTTCTGTGTCGCTGTCGTCAGACTCAGCATCAGTTCCAGTTAGAATTATTCAGGTCTTTCTGAATCCCGACAGGATGGTTTCAGTGTCACTGAAGTCCAGACTTTGTCCATCCATCCAGTGACTTCAGGAAAGTTTCATGGTGCATCCTCCTGGTTACCGTGAAGCTGTGTTCCATCAGTCCCTCACAAGTTTCTCTCTCACTCCAAACTTTCTTTCTGCTGCCCGATTACCATTTTCGGCTGAATATTTCACTATTTGCAGCAGAACAGCGGCTTTTTCTACAGGAGACATGCGCAGTAGAGCCAAGTGACAGTGGTACAGGAGTAATAGTCGTACTAGATACTGACACACAAGACTAGAACCTCTTGCGACTGTCAGTCTGAAAATTTTAATATATAAGTCGCACCAGAGTATAAGTCGCAGAAAACACCCAAACCATAAAAAAAAAGTGTGACTTATTGTCCGAGAAATACGGTAGTTTAAATTCTTAGAGAACACAACTTCACTATCAGACTTTTCATGACTAAATTCCCAACTGTAATGATAAAAACAATAACATTTTAAAGATTTGCAGCTGCAGCTTTATTTGAATATTTACAAATTGTTAACAGACGGACCAAAATAATACAATTCTAAAAAGTAAAACGTTTATGTGGCTTGTCTCTTTAAATAAATACATCTAAGGTCAAGCACAAGGCCATAACTCGTAATAATACGGGAGCACTCGACCATTGAATTCACACTTCTCAAACGTGTAAATCTTTTCTGCTGTTTCCGAATTATAAAACGACACCGAACGCGCCTCGTAATCCACAAAAACGCCAACTCTCTGCGGTCTGTTGCACGGGACCAAGTTCACGGACTTGTGTTTTGTCAGCGCGCAAAACTTGGTACCATTTCTCTCCTGAATCACCCAGAAACCGCTTTCTGGTCTCAAAATCTCTCCGTCGTTTTGATCCATCTTTTCACGCACTACTCCTAGATTCCATTTCATATATGTCACGTTGATTTCAAAATAAAAGTTACTAAAATACAAAGTGCGTTGCGCTAAAACTTCAATATTTTTGGTGAACTTGTTTGGGTTGTTGGCGATTTGGACTTCATCTTCACCGTACGTTAACTGTTGATCGTCTGCAGACAAATTTAACCTCGGATAAAGTGATTTTGCGTTTAAAGTGGCGTCAACCGTGAATTGTTGCACACGTTTTAGCTCTATTTCTGTCCAAAACTTGCCCAAATCCGCAACGATCTCATTCATTTTCCTCACAACTGCGTCCACTACGCTTCTCTGAAATGAACGGACTTCTACTTGACTTAAATCTAGCGTTCTTGGTTCAGTTTTGAGTGTTTCGAAACTTTGAACGAGCTCAAAGTAGTCGTTTGTGTGTTTTTTGCGTTCCTCCAGCTCAGCCCCGGCCGTCTCCAGTTCGTAAATTTCATCCTCGAGTTGCGAAACGTAAAACTCGGCTTGTCTCGACACCTCGTTTTGTTTCGTCTGCATGGTTTCGATCATTTGCGAAAGACCCTCCTCGAGACTTCGGCTGACTTTGAACACCGCCTGCACGCAGTCTCGCACGCTCTCGGCCGTCTTGTCTTCCTCGTCGCGCGCCGTCTGCTTGAGTTGCTTCGTCTTCTTTCGTCTTTCCTCAGTCAAGTCGCAGAGTTTGTCCTGGAGTTTGGAAAGTTCTCGGATCTTCTCCTCTCCCTCCTGCTCCACGGAGACCACCATGTGTCTGCTGTGTTCAGACTCGGAGCAGAACTGGCAAAGGAACATTTGGTCCAACTGACAGAAGAACCTGAAAAAAAAAATGTATTTGGGATTAGTAAAGGAGCTGTACGTCATTTTGACAGTCTTCAAAACATGAAAAAACAACTTTGTAAAGAAAAGGGAGGATTGACATTACCAAATCTCCGTGATTACTAATTGGCTGCGCAGCTTGAAGTATTAATTCAGTGGTGTGATAGTTCTTGTGGTGCGAGGTGGAAGGAGATGGAGAGTGTATGTGGAAATGTACCAATACAAGCTTTAATTGGGAACCAAAAACTTATGAAAACCTGTGAAAAAGACCTGACTCCATTAACATCCTTTAGACCAGTGGTGCTCAATACGTCGATCGTGATCTACCAGTCGATCGCCGAGGTCGTGTGGGTAGATCGTCGTGTCTCGTCTCGGACTCGCGTTTGGACTCGGTCTTGTCTCTCACTCGAGGTCTGACACTCAACAAGTGTGATCATATTTCATTTCGGCCGCTGCTGTTGGTAATAAACTTGTAGCGGGTGCAGGAGCGTGTGGGGCGTCTCAGTGCAGCCTGTGCGCTCATTTGAAACCCGCGGAGACTCTACGGCGCATCACAAACACACACGCTCCCTATGCACGGCTCGTCTGCGACAGCGTGTGCCCTCGTGTACCAGCGTGCATCACAGCAGAGGTGCGTGCACACAGCTGGCCTCCTCACAGCTTCCACAGCGTGCACACAGCAGGTTCCTTCCTAAACAGTCGCCTCACGTCAGCACGCCGCCCTACACACAACACAAGCCCCTCCCACAGTGAAGAAGAGCATAAAAACGAGTCTAAATTTGTGTTCCAGTGTTGGCACAAAGCAGGTCTACAGCATAGAGCGGATCTACAGAACAGACCTACTGCCACATTTGGCTGAAGTTTGTCTAACAAAAGTGACAAATGCATCTGTGTTTGTCACGATGTGCGTTTGGTTTGGTAAACGTGCAGAGGCTGGTAAATATCACTGCAAAACCAGAAAAGAATGAAACTCCAGTTTGGAACTTTAAAAAACAGGTTTAAAAATCTTCCTTCACTTTTTTCACAGTTTTGTGTAAAGTGCCAGAGGAAGTTCTCTTAAAGAAGAGGTTCTCAAACTGTGGGTGAGGGTCCAAAAAAGGGGCACAGAGTGTTTCAGTGCAGTTTGTTTGGCTTTGTATTAGGTCGATCTTTATGACTTGGTCATTTTGTAAGTAGCTCACATGATGAAAAAGTGTGAACACCTCTGGTTTACACTAACAATATGGTTCCAAATTATAAAAGAATTAAATTAATGGATCACATATGAATTCTTAGATGGGTGATTTTTGACACAGACTTTAAGCCTAATCAAACTGGTATAAGATGTAAATAGACACATCAAGAATCTCGGACTTCCGGTCATTGCGCAATCCACACTGGGAAGGATCCTCCGAAAAAGTGAGCATCAAACCTCCATGTTTGTTTTCCCAGTGGGATGTGTCTATTGTCAAAGTCGATCTTTTCAAGTCTTTTGAACCATATCACTTTTGTTTCTGGTTCTGATATTGTCATATTTTAGTTTTGGGATTCGGACATTCGGATCGGGATCCCACTTTGTTGTCGCTCCACATACAAAATGTTCTATGTAAACTCGGGATGATTTCTTAGGCAGACAAATGTTTCCTTTTTGGTTCTTCCTGTGGATCAATCCTGCCCATCACCTTCACCTTTCACTATTTTTCAATTCTGTTGTGAAGAGAAACAGTTTGAACGGAGGTTTGCAGTCACACACATCTGATTCTTTTTTGCAGTTATGGAGTTCGCAAACTTCCGAGACGTCCAACAACCACACAATTACGATGTCCGAATCCCAAAACTAAAATATGACAATATCAGAACCAGAAACAAAAGTGATATGGTTCAAAAGACTTGAAAAGATCGACTTTGTCAATAGACACATCCCACTGGGAAAACAAACATGGAGGTTTGATTTCCGGAAGTCTGAAATTCTTGATGTGTCAATACTGGACACAAGATGGATTGACAGCGTATTGTAAGATACTAGATAAAAACATTTTACCGAGGTTTCAAACACTGCAAAAAAATATATAATTTGGAGAAAAATGATTCATTTAGATACTTGTCTTCAAAGGTGATTAAAAAAAACTGTAACAAATTTGGAACTAGAATCCACTGATTTAATTAATCTGGTATCGCAAACCTATTCTCAGGGATGTACATCAATGATTTCTAAAGTTTACCGTAGCCTAACAAGTAAAAGGGGAATTTCAACGGCGTATATTAAAAAAACGATGGGAGAAAGAAATGAAAACAGAACAGTGGGAAAACATATGTGAAACTGCTCACTCAACGTCTTGTTCTGCTTATTGGCGCGAATTTAGTTGGAAAATTATAATTCATTAAGCAACAAATGAGAAGAAACTCGAACAGCTCTGCATGTTGGAGGCTTGTGGAGATAATGAGGCTCATCACACTCACATATTTTGGTCTTGTGTGAAACTGAACACATTTTGGACATTTTGTACCTGTTTTGTTATTGTATTATTTATGTATAAAATGCTTAATAAAAATGAAGTGATCAAAACAAAACATGAAAATCGAGTTTTAAAGAGCCAATATTACGTCATTTTCTGATGATAATATTGTTTCGTTGGCACAAACAGACCTGGGGTTTTGTTTCATTCACACATGTTTAACACACAAACTCTCCTCACTTGGGCTGAGTTCTTCTCTCCAACTGATAAACACTGTTCCACTTTGTGATGTCATGTGGTAATACAGTGCAGGAAATGCTCCACTGTGTTTTTAAACTCCTTCACTAGAATCATTTGGGTAATTTCAGACCTGGAATTGCCGACTGATCCCTTGGCCTTTTGGCAGATCGTGGCGTAACTCGTTGCTGGTGAATGTGGGTTCTGAAGAAGTGAAGAAGCAGCTTGGACGAGCTGCGAAACGTCTTCAACCAAACTAACTTTTGTCCAGTCGACAAACTGAATTTTCTCCTCGCCGTGGATTCTACCTGGACTGAGGGATTCTTCACACATCTTGGCTGTCCATAGTTCAACACACCTGTTGTGCAGCGCGGTCAAGCCTCTAGGGGGCGTCTGACCATCTAACCCCGGTCTAACTCAGGTCTAAACCAGGTCTAAACCAGGTCTAAACCAGGTCTAACCCAGGTCTAAACCAGGTCTAAACCATCTAAACCAGGTCTAAACTCTAAACCAGGTCTAACCAGGTCTAAAGGTCAAATCTAAACCAGGTCTAAACAGGTCTAAACCAGGTCTAAACCAGGTCTAAACCAGGTCTAAACCAGGTCTAAACCAGGTCTAAACCAGGTCTAAACCAGGTCTAACTCAGGTCTAAACCAGGTCTAAATCATCTAAACCAGGTCTAAACCAGGTCTAAACTCAGGTCTAAACCAGGTCTAAATCTAATCTAAACCCAGGTCTAAACCAGGTCTAAACCAGGTCTAAATCCTAACCCAGGTCTAAACAGGTCTAAACTAACAGGTCTAACCCAGGTCTAAATCATCTAACCCAGGTCTAAACCAGGTCTAAACTCAGGTCTAACCAGGTCTAAACCAGGTCTAAATCATCTAACCCAGGTCTAAACCAGGTCTAAACCAGGTCTAAACCAGGTCTAAACCAGGTCTAAACTCAGGTCTAACCCAGGTCTAAATCATCTAACCCAGGTCTAACTCAGGTCTAAACCAGGTCTAAACCAGGTCTAAACCAGGTCTAAACCAGGTCTAAACCAGGTCTAAATCATCTAACCCAGGTCTAACTCAGGTCTAAACCAGGTCTAAATCATCTAACCCAGGTCTAAACTCAGGTCTAAACCAGGTCTAAATCCATCTAACCAGGTCTAAAGGTCTAAACCAGGTCTAAACCAGGTCTAAACAAGGTCTAAACCAGATTTAAATAATCTAAACCAGGTCTAAACCAGGTCTAAACCAGGTCTAACCCAGGTCTAAACCAGGTCTAAACCAGGTCTAAACCAGGTCTAAATCATCTAAACCAGGTCTAAATCATCTAAACCAGGTCTAACTCAGGTCTAAACCAGGTCTAAACCAGGTCTAAACTAAACCAGGTCTAAACCAGGTCTAAACAAGGTCTAAACCAGATTTAAATAATCTAAACCAGGTCTAAACCAGGTCTAAACCAGGTCTAAACCAGGTCTAAACCAGGTCTAAACCAGGTCTAACTCAGGTCTAAACCAGGTCTAAATCATCTAAACCAGGTCTAAACCAGGTCTAAACCAGGTCTAAACCAGATTTAAATAATCTAAACCAGGTCTAAATCAGGTCTAAACCAGGTCTAAACCAGGTCTAAACCAGGTTAAACCAGGTCTAAATAATCTAAACCAGGTCTAAACCAGGTCTAAACCAGGTTTAAATAATCTAAACCAGGTCTAAACCATATAAACTATAAAGTGTTTCAGTTTTGAGGTTTAAAACTCTGGTCACCCTGCTCGTGTTTCCAGTCTCTGGTCTCACCTGAGGGGCCTGTTGTGCGTCGGACACGTCCTCTCCTCCAGGTTCTTCACCGGCTCGATCAGCTGGTGCCTCCTCAGACCTGCGCTTCTGTAATGAGGAGACAAATGCACCTCGCAAAACGACGCCAGGCAGATCGAGCAGGACTTCAGCGCTCTTTCTCCGCAGACATCGCAGGGGACCTCTTGTTCTCGCTCTCTCCACTCCCCCTCTGTCCCCTCCTCTCGTCTCTTCTGCGCTTCAGTCTTCAGTTGCTGGGACATCTGCGAGAGCACCGTGTTGACCCTGAGCTCCGTGTTTTGGGGGACCGGCTGCCTGCAGAGGGCGCAGACTCTGTTCTGGCTGCAGCTCCAGTGTTTGGTGATGCAGGTTTTGCAGAAGTTGTGGCCGCAGGGTAAAGTGACCGGGTCCGTGAAGACGTCCAGGCAAATGTTGCAACAGAAATGCTCCTCGTAAGAGACTCCAGCACACGCCATGATGAGGATGTGACCTGACAACACAAAGAGAAAAAACACAGGTATTAGACAACAAATATTACAGTGAAATTAAAGCCCAAATCAACTTTTTTGGTACTAAACTGGGTATGTGGTGTTTTATAGCGTTATGTACTGTCTAAAGAGCCGTTCACACCAAAGGGCCGTTCACACCAAAGGCGTCAAAACGTCCACTTTCAATGTAAAGTCGATGTGGACGCGCGACTAGAGCGTCCTGAGTTTTTGCGGCGCGTTTTCGGCGTCAGCGCGGCGCGAATCTGGCGTCGACGCGGCGCGTCTTGAGCGTTTTGGCGTCAGCGGCCAAGACGCGCGTCAAAGGCGTCAACGTAAAGAAGTTGAAAATGCTGAACTTTTCGCGTCACACGCGCCGCGTCAACCAATCAGGGACGAGTATCCAGTGACGCAGCGACGTTATTATCAGGAAGCAAGACCCGAGAACCAGAACGAGAACCACAAACATGAGCGGAGAATAAATATATACACCACAATCACCGAGCCGATCACGAGGACTACACCAGGACCGGACCAGGACTAAACCAGGACTAGACCAGGACTAGACCGAGACTAGACAGACAGACCGGACTAGACCGGGACTAGACAGGACTAGACCAGGACTAGACCGAGACTAGACAAGGACTAGACCGGACTAGACCGAGACTAGACCGGTATTAGACCAGGACTAGACCGGGACTGATCCAGTGTCATTAGTGGAGTATAAATATAAACACGCCCCAGTCGTCGACCCGATCTCCTCCGCTGATGTTTTATGTCATAAAAACACTCTGTCAGTCTGGTCTGACATTGTTTTGGGAAAAGACCAGGACCGGGCTCTTGTTTCCAGGGCAACGGACGCGCGTCAAGTATTTTTGTCCCGTTCGTCCACGGCGTCAAAGACGCGCGTCGGAAACTCAAATGCAAAGGCTCCAAATAGAGACGTCAAGGCGTTTTTTGACGCTTTGGTGTGAACGGCCCTTATGACATCATCACATTCTACAATTTGAAAACCAATGACATCATCCTTTCTTCTGCTGGTTCCCATGGAGACGAGATTACATAAAGTGAGTTGTTCTTTGAAGTAGAAGTAGGTAGGTTGTGAGGTTGGGCAGCAGCTTGTCAGTGGAGCGGTAACATATAAGGTTGATTTGTATTGATCGAGGGCTATTTGACACAAACAAACACACACAACATCATTCCATATTTATTACAATTTTAATTACTAACATGGATGGTAAAACTCAAATTAGGTCTTTGATAGAGAAGTGGCAGGGCGGGGAGAGAGACCATGACACTGCAGAGACAGAATGGAGTGAAAAATTTCAGCTCTGGCTTTCAACAGAGGCTGATCTTCTGACCAAGGAGCAGGCTACGAGTAAGACGGACCTGCCTTGGGGACAGATTGAGACAGACTGGGAGAATAGGGAAGTCGTGTACAAGAATGTGGTCTTGGAAATTCTGAGGGATGCCGATGCAAGACTCCAGGGAAAACCAGAGATGTTCCCCAAATTGCCTGAGCTCCAGCAGCAATATGAAGATAGGCTACAGCACCTGGCTCTCCGGCAGTCCCTCAGGCTGCAGACTGAGGCGTGGTTTAAAGGGAGGGAACGTCTTTTAGGTCATAGTACAATAAAGGCACAAAAGCTTAAGTCGAAAGTCCAGATGGCAGTGGCGCAAAGGTTGGACAAATTGAAATCAGATGAGCTCAGCAGTACTAGCAGTGACTGGAGCTCAGGAAGTAACCAGGAAGACGACAAAACACTGAGCGATAAATATGTGCAGTTAAAACATGAACATTCCACCCTGCGCAAAATGTATTTGGAACAAGAGACAAGCTTCGCTGAGAAATTACTGGAGGAGCAAGTCATGTGTAGGCAAAAAACGTCGGAGCTTGAAACAACATTAGAAAAAATGGAGGAAGAAAGACGTGAATCTGAAGAAAGACACAAAGAGCTGTGTGATGAAATTATTGCACTGAGACAGGAGAAGGAAAAATGGACAATAGAATACCAAGAGCTTGAGAAGATCTGCGACGAGAAAGCAAAACAGACACACGAAAACGAAATGGAAACTTTAAAATGGAGGTTCCAAGAGCACGAACAAAATTTGCAGACTTATTATGAAGAGAAGAGAGAAAAGGATGGAAAGAAATGGGTGAGGAAGGTGGCTGCATACCACGAGAGGCTGAGCAAAGAGATCGAGGAACACGCAAAGACAAGCATGAGTCTGGACGATCTGAAGAAGCAGTGGAGGAAACGAGATGCGGAAACGAAGCTGGCGCTGGAGGCTGAGGAGAGAGAGCGGGCAATCGCAGAGGAACGACGCGCAGAGGAAAATCGCAAGTGGAGAGCGCAGGTCCAGCAGGAGTTTGATGAGAAAGAACTCGAGCTACTTAGGAAAGAGGCACTTTGTGAGAGCAGAAAGCTAGAGATGGATAAATGGGAACAACGTTTCTCCTCAGAGTTATTGGAGCTCCAAAAAAGAATAACAGAAACCCCACCTACAAATATGAACCAAACTGAAACACAAAATAACCCTGAAACAGCATTGTCGGTAGAAGATCAGCTGACCAAACCAAAAAAGAAGAGAAAGTTCTGGTCCTGGAGCTGGTTCAGGAGATTTTTGGTGGGGAGTAAAAGATGAGGCTAATGAACAGTTAAGAGCTGTAGAGGGCAACGGTACGCACTGTTCAGAGTGTGTTCGGCTGCCCTTTGTTCAGCTCCTGTTGGCGGTTGCTGTTGGAGGCCAGGTCAGAAGAGTAAAGGAGGAGGGGTCAGAGTGGGTGGGGCTAAGTGGGGGTGCTGTAGTGAGTTGTTAAGAGTGGGTGCGGCTGCCCAGGGCTCATCGTCTCAAAACCAGCTCAAACCAAACTTTTTATTTATTTGCATTTTTTCATTAAGACGTAGTCGTTACATGTTAACAAGTTAACTTTCCCATTTCTTGAGCAAACTGTTGTTGTTGCTGAGCAAACTGTTGTTGTTGCCTTCAGTTTGAAGGTTCCTTTCAGGTCTTGAGACAGAATCTGTGTTCTCAGCTCATTGAACAACCTCACAAAAGACCAAGTGAGATAGATCAAGAATTGAGGAAGAACGCAGAATAGTCCAGTGTTTTCTTAATCATTCTTGGGTGTTTTAACTGTGTGTTTTGGGTCATTATCCTGTTGGAAGAACCATGACCTACAACCAAGACCAAGCTTTCTGACACTAGGCAACACATTCCAGTCCAAAATACACTGATAGATTAGAGATTTCGTTGTACCTTACATGGATTCAAGACACCGACACCCTGTGCCAGATGCAGCAAAACAACCCCAGAACAAAACCAAGCCTCCTCCATGCTTCATACACTGTAATAAAAATAAGTTGTTTCAGCTAAAAAACTTAAGGCAACAGGATGCCTTTACTTTTTTGTTGAAAAGACTAACTAACTTATTCAAGTTATGGAATTAAGTTGCTCCAACTTAAATTTTTTGTTAGAACAAATCAATTTATTTTTGTTTGTTAGTTATTACTCTTTATGAGCACAAGGCATTTTTTTTTTTTTTGCTTCTCTGACTTAGTTTTTATCATTAGCTCAACACATTTACTATCACAATCACAATGCATTTTCTTTTGCTCACCCAATTTATTTTTTAATGTTTGCAGAATGTATTTTCTCTCATTTGCAATTGTTTTAATTGTTTTAACTGAAGTATAATAAAGACATAACTGAGCTCAAGTAACATAACAGCTCAAGTAACAGACTTTTTAACAGACTATTAATAACTGCACAACTGCAATTTTAAATTGTGGAGGGTCGTTCACACCAAGGCGTCAAAACGTCCACTTTCAATGTAAAGTCGATGTGGACGCGCGACTAGAGCGTCCTGAGTTTTTGCGGCGCGTTTTCGGCGTCAGCGCGGCGCGAATCTTGAGTGTTTTGGCGTCGACGCGGTGCGTAACGTCAAGAAGTTGAAAATGCTGAACTTTTCGCGTCAGACGCGCCGCGTCAACCAATCAGGGACGAGTATCCAGTGACGCAGCGACGTTATTATCAGGAAGCAAGACCCGAGAACCAGAACGAGAACCACAAACATGAGCGGAGAATAAATATATACACCACAATCACCGAGCCGATCGCGAGGACTACACCAGGACCGGACCAGGACTAAAGGACTAAACCAGGACTAGACCGGGACTAAACCAAGGACTAGACCGAGACTAGACCGGTATTAGACCAGGACTAGACCGGGACTGATCCAGTGTCATTAGTGGAGTATAAATATAAACACGCCCCAGTCGTCGACCCGATCTCCTCCGCTGATGTTTTATGTCATAAAAACACTCTGTCAGTCTGGTCTGACATTGTTTCGGGAAAAGACCAGGACCGGGCTCTTGTTTCCAGGGCAACGGACGCGCGTCAAGTATTTTTGTCCCGTTCGTCCACGGCGTCAAAGACGCGCGTCGGGGGCGTCTAAACTCAAATGCAAAGGCTCCAAATAGAGACGTCAAGGCGTTTTTTGACGCTTTGGTGTGAACGGCCCTTATGACATCATCACATTCTACAATTTGAAAACCAATGACATCATCCTTTCTTCTGCTGGTTCCCATGGAGACGTGATTACATAAAGTGAGTTGTTCTTTGAAGTAGAAGTAGGTAGGTTGTGAGGTTGGGCAGCAGCTTGTCAGTGGAGCGGTAACAAATAAGGTTGATTTGTATTGATCGAGGGCTATTTGACACAAACAAACACACACAACATCATTCCATATTTATTACAGTTTTAATTACTAACATGGATGGTAAAACTCAAATTAGGTCTTTGATAGAGAAGTGGCAGGGCATGGAGAGAGACCATGACACTGCAGAGACAGAATGGAGTGAAAAATTTCAGCTCTGGCTTTCAACAGAGGCTGATCTTCTGACCAAGGAGCAGGCTACGAGTAAGACGGACCTGCCTTGGGGACAGATTGAGACAGACTGGGAGAATAGGGAAGTCGTGTACAAGAATGTGGTCTTGGAAATT